AACAACCCAATACGTACTGAGTGATTTTTACGATAAACTTTCAAGATTAATGATACTTACACAGCTACACCAACAAATGTATATATACCTAGACCTATTTTACAGGTATCGTCAATAGGTTAAATGCGTTCGTTGAACTCCAAACAATAATAATAATAATTTTTTTTAACAAAATTACTGTCCACGCGAGAGTAAAGATACAAATAGATCAAATTTTTGCACGAATGTAATATAATAACTGCGTTACCAATTAACCGGATATATGTTGGTTTAAYTAATTTATCAATCACGTCTACTGTTCTATACGATTGCAACGGATGTATATAACTATACCTGCACTGCAATCGAGTTTTTAACGACCTAAAAATCAATATTATCATTCTGTTCGACCTACATAATTTTAAGAATAATTAACTTAATTAATAATCTCTACAAAYAATACRAATAAATCATAACCAAAATTCAAATAAATCACTATTTACAACAATATCAATCATGTAATGCAAATTAATGTTTGTTCAATCCCATATTATACGATTAAGTTGACATAATATATAATAACTGGAATATTAAACAACAAACCCATATACAATCAGCAGTACGACTATAGGTACATTTATTTTTTTTATGAAATGTCATCATCATAATGACTGGTGCATAATGTACCTAGATATATATTATGTGACATTGTGACAATAAATATAAGAAACTCTCACCAAATGACGCAATGTTAGGAAATAAACAAAATAATTCCGAACTTGATTTTCGGTAAAGTTTACATTATAKATAATATATCCTCATTTGTTTGCTTCTATAACCGCTGCATTTATAGTTATACTGCTGTAACAGTTATTTAACATGCACAGTGTGTTATATTTGTACAGCTATAGTGTAGAGATTCTCACGAGAGTCTACTCAACCGGTTTTTTGCGTAAATTTCCAAAACAAAAAAAAAACATGCCTAGACATTTGTCTATACCTAGAATGTACAGTTTTTTCCCTAGTCTTCATTAGCTGTACATTGTCCCAGTTAACAAAAATCACACATTTGATTGTACCCGTTTAGTTATGTTATATTATACAGCGTATATCAATCGCATGTTACATGATTGCATTTAACAGTGTAAACATATTACATACTTATTGTTTGATAACTAAAATATTTACATTATACTTTATTACAAGCAAAATATTACGTCTCGATTTCAAAATACAGCCCAACGTCAATGACTGTAATGAAAACAGAACAGGATATTATCGAGAAAAAATTAAAACAATGAAAACAAAATATTATAATGAGTAAATTAATTAATACTAATGTCMAATATTATTGAAAAACCCATAATTTCGATGGGGAAACCTGGTGGAAAACTATAAAACATATACAGATATAATAAAGTTACTGCCCGCAGTAGATATTATACATTATATATTTATCCATTTTAATATAATGTACATTTGTGCAATAAAATCTCGTGAATAATAATATAAACCAATCTGAAAAAATCATCTGACTTGATAGTGATAAAAAATACAAAAAATTAGACGACCTTGAGTAAAGTACTTATTGCGCATATTTTTGCGACTGGTAACTAATGGCGTTACGATAAAAGTGCTATATATACGAAAACAACAACGACAAAAGTCTATTTTTTTTTCTTTTTATCGATTACTTATGTACTCAATACTCAATACACTATATAGGTACAATAAGCAACAAATCGTGTCCATGTATGAAAAATTATTSATAAAATACTAAAAAGCGCATAGAATCAATATAATATTGTATGGATATAAATACATATATTATATACTATAATATGAGCACGTTAGCAACGGTCGACCTTTTGAAATATACATGTGTGTGACACCAACATCACTATTGTACACGCGAGTATATACTATATATATACTCGTATATACCTATTTTCTATCTAACAATAACAGTTACTATCAAAGTATCAAATATCATTTAACTACAAAATTAGCATTACCTCATAAAAATATATTGCACGGCCACAAATAAGGACAACGAATATGAAAATTAAAATTGTATTTTAGACTCTGAGCGGGGCAATGAATGCGTATACCGATTTTATAATTATACGAGTGAGTGTTTTTATTTGGACTCACCTTCGGAAGCAATAAATCTTGAGTGTGATTTTTGGAAATAAACTTGATTTATTTTGTTCCTGAAGTGGGTCAATAGTAAAAATTACAAGTCCATTTCATAATAACCGGGAAAAACTAGAATATTTGAGCAAAACAAGTTCAACCAGACGTTTTAATGAGCGAGGAATAAGACAAATATAAATTATTTAGATATACACGATACATTACAATATACGACGGTTTACATAAAAAATTWWAAAAAAATATAGGTAAGAAATTTTTTTTCTCTACACGCATAGAAAAAACTATTATATTATTATATATAATAGCGATAATAATATATACCTAGTTGGTATTTTTATATTTGAGTTCTCAATGCGGAATCGAAACTAGAAACGGTTTCCCTCATTTCCGTTTAACAATAATAATAGTATATACCAGAGGTATTCAAAATTTCAAACTGTGCATCGCGGCTCATTTGTACGACGGAGACAACACATGCGGGTGTGGCGTCCTCTTAAGTAAGAACTAAAGCTAGACATTTAATCGCTCGGTAGTAAGTTGTATACTAATATTATACATATAATAATATCATGTATTCGTTTTTCAGACATTTGTGTATTGTATTGTAAATTAATTTATGAACTTAATAGTTATGCGTTTTGTATGTCTATGCGGAGATATAATACGACGTTATTATTCACACTTCTCAAAACGAATAAAAAGAGAATATAAATAGATCGTTTCACGACCGTACAACAAAGTTTATATCGTTGTGAGATATGTCGATAAACTACTGCTASACATATAGATTTCAGTAAGTCAGGAATTTTTTAAGTATAATATATACTAGAAGGTATACGTCATATATTTTTTAATCGTATTTAAACGTATACAGTATAAATTGTATTTCATATTGAAGCATTAGAGGTCTAACACAAAATCTTAAAAAAAATTTATTAATCTCAAAAGCGTTTATAGTGTTATTAAAGTGTTTATTTTTAAATTGTTAATTATTATTATTTTTGTTCAATGGTCTTGACATTATATTTACTAAATATTTAACTTGTGTATGACACACCACAATAATCATTAGCTATAATTATTATTCATGTTTACTTATATAATAGCAGTGTAAAGTGTAACCAATGATTCATCGTAGATCACACATTTCCGAGAGCGCCGTAAGACATATAAACCAGGGGAGGGAAGCTAAGTCAAAAATCTCTGATATCACGTTGGTGTATAACAATTATTTTTTTCCAAGCAATAAGACGACTAATAATAATTAAAATATTAAAATTAAAGAAATCCTAAATTTAAAATTAATTGATAACATAATACATACCCAAGTCTTATATTATATTATAATAATTACGATAAAGCATAAACAATCATATTTGCAGTAATATTACATAACGAACGCCTGAGAACTTTTCTGGATATTTTTACATTACTATCTGAAAGTTAGCAAAGAATAAAATAAACAATAATGTAATATTTTTACCAGGATATTTCCAAACAATAATAATATTATTCCAATCAGAAACATGATATATTTTAACTATACACTACCTATCAAATAATAATTTAACATAGATATTATTCTCCAACTAAATCTCGCATTACGCAGGTATATATACATAGGTATACATGTAAATATATATGTATTTGCAGATATGAAGAAGAAGATTTGAAGAAGAATAATTTTAAAATCACGCAATCTACGTAATTTACACTTGCCTTCAATTATTTAACCGCAATATTATTACATATAGCTGCAAAGTCAATTTAACATGCGAAAACAAATTATTATAGGTACGTATATTTATTTTAAAACTTGAGAAAATGTTGTATTGCTCACAACGAAAAGTTAATAGATATAATAATTAAAAAATATATTTCAAAAATGTTTGTGTTGAAACACTGCAGTTGGCTTTGAATGAGCGGAGTTCCAAATATTTGGTTTTAAATAATCATTGGATAAATATAAAATATTATTCATAGTGTATGCATACGTTACACCCAAATAGCCATTTGAGTCAATTAAGAGCCGATTTATTTTTATGTTTCACTGTACAAAACAATAATAATATAATAACCATGAAATAAGTCATCAGAAATAAATAAACCAACAAGACAATTTTAAAATACTTTCACTACGGTTAGGACATTTAATATGAAACAAAACAAAATTATGAAATAATTCACGTTACTGCATACATTGAACATTCATACGGTTTAAGGCGTTTAAGCGAATAAAACTCATTTTCGAAGGATACGCTTTTATACATTTGGCATTGCACACATTATTTTAGATTTTTTTATTACATTATTGATTGTTTCTTTTATTTTTTTATTTTTTTAATGATTCAATCAAATCCTCATTTTTTAATTCTAAGGATATTGAATGCTATTATAATGGATATTATACCTATTTATAAATATGGTGGTAACTTTTCGATTACTGCAGTTCGAAAATATTACGAAACCCAAACATCGTTAAATTTAGGACGAATACTGCAAAGATATATGAATAATGAATAATATTCAACTTACTATATTTTTTATGGACACTATACATTATATGYGATTACGTATTATGTAGGTACAGCAGGTAGGTACACATAATTATTATGCGAATGTCAATAAATTTAATTTAACGATATTTAAAAATATTCTTTTGTTACGTCCAAATGTATTTTATTTTTATTTTTTATACGCACGTGTTAAAAGTAAAATCCTTAGTAAAATCGAATGGGAAGTATGAAATTGCTACGTTCAAAAGTGTCGTATATATATACCTAACCATGAAATGATGTGACCAGTTATGGCTACCCTTACCTTTCTTGTATCATCTCGTTAAACGTTTTGCTCCTTTTCCGGAACCCATCGTCCAACCTATCCGTTTCAAATTTCTTTACCTCGACAAGTCGCTCAATAATGTGTTCCTGCTGTTTTCTCCTGTTACTTTTCCAATTGTCCAAGTCCTGTGAACAAACACAATGTCAGTTTTATCTTTACATCAACTTTATGTATACACACTAAGTATATAATATATATATATATATATATATATATATTATATATATATATATATATATATTCCGACATCCGTTACGATTCGCGCATCGGTAATATTATTGTTACAAAACTACATATATAGTTGTCATATTACCGCTATTATTATACCACATTACTATAGGTTACGTCTTAAGTGACGGGGAGGATTATCCGAGATAGTAAGAGAGGATAAATTAGATATTAGGGGGTTTGGGTAGGGTAACGATCGAGTTGGAGTGGAATTTTTCTTAGTGCGTGGACGCAAGTACAGAAAGGGTAGGAATTTTTAAGTCGTTGTGAGAGTTTTATTGCTAACGTGCAATGGCGCTTTAGCTAATAGCCGTAAGTTTWTAGACTGGAAAGATTGATAAAAATTAAGATTTGAGACTTTGATAGATCCCCAGATTTGGATACCATAATAAGTCATTGAAGGACGAATTAGTTGTTTATATAGAATAATTTTTTTGTTGAGTGAGTAGGTATTGGAACGAAAAAGGTGTCTTAAAGTATGAAGTTTTAATTTTAGGGATATTTTTTTTGTTTTGATGTGGATAGCCCCGATTCTATTTTATCGCTTAATATAAAAAATTAACTTATATGACATAAGTACGTAATTACTCAAACGAACATATAAAAATACAGATATAAATTGAATCATAATTTTAGAAACATACTTGACCTCATAAAACTCAAATATTTTAAATACATTTTTTTATGGACAATTTTATTTAAATGTTTATTTTCTTTATAAAAAACCAGATATTCCTGATTTTTATTTGATGTTATAATTTAAACACAACGATGGAGTTTAATTAAACTAATAAGTACATAATATAAATTACATATTCACAGAAATTGTTAAAATCTCATTAATACTTAAAAAATATAAAATTAATTTATTAAAGTATGCATTGAATATCTAACGAGTTTCGTGAGAATTTATTTTTATTTTTATCAATTTTGAAGGTAGCTCCGGCATTACTGCAACATACTATATTGGGCATTTGGGCGAACAATTTATAGGTATTACATGTTATTATAATTAAGAATTAATATTATTGTCACTCACCGATTGCCATTCGGCATCAAATTCTTTTGGTTTTGGCTTGACGACCACTGCAGCCGTTTTGTTCAGCTGGTCTTGCGCCGAACGATAGAGATCGGACGGTGCCAGCTTGACAAACTGCAGTGGAGCCGGTTTCATAGACGACATCATCGGATCACCTGTAAACACATAATACGACCATATATTATATTATCAACTTATTACATATTTGAAACTGTAATTATTGTTATCTCTAAATGAAACGCATGCGACATAATGTATTAATGTTACATTTTATATACAATGTGTTATAATTATAATAACAAACATTTTAACGCAGAATCCATAAATTTGGGTTAAATSAAAACTATRAAAAAAAACGGAAAATGTTATACCCTTGGWAATATGTATTAATTTTACAGTGTTTTTAAAAAAAAAACAAATTATTCTGTYTGTAAAAGTGTAAACACTTTTTCTAGTTAAAAAACGCTCTAATGCCTCTAATCATTAGCATAATGGATGTTTATGGTAGGTACTAAATTTAATTTAATGTTTACTTTGCGAGTCAAAAGTAGACATTTCTCAGTACTTTTTAAAATAATCGAGGGAAAAAAATATGAACATTTGACACTCCTTTTATGRCATCTAATAATTCCAAGTATTTCAAAATACGTTCCTATATACATATAGCTATAATATAATATGCTAAAAATCGGAAAAATCGGAAAAATCGTATTTTACACGTTTGAGTGAATATTATTATCAAAAGGAAAAACAGATGTTGTGAATGATGACCTTGTACCTACTGCGTGCGCCCAAGACCCGTCCTACTGTAGGGCCGCAGAATGCATGGTGCACAACCATATAGCGGTATAGAGGTAAACCTTACCTTACCAGGTATGTCTATTATGTGACCGGTAGCCGCGTGCTTATATGCAGACAACAAAAACTCATTACACCAAATCCAAAGCCTTTCTCTATTTCGCACATGTATACGACACGCACCATGCATTGTCTATATTATATTTACGCACTTCTGAATTTTTTTTTTTTCCAGGTCATTCCTTACGCGTACAAATAGAGTATACCAATGATAGTTATAGATATACGTGGATATGCTCTGTACATGACGTGTACATGTCATTTGCTTCGGGACACTCGACACCGCGGTGGCCCTATATAATATATATATATATATATATATATATATATACGAACCACGACGTGTAAGACCACTCGATAAATTTCGTTTGCTACCTCGAGGGCCATCGAATTGACGACCTTGTATATACCGTACACAGTCAACCTGCAGTACTACAGGTGGATATAATATAAATATATATACTTTTATACAGTATAAAATGTACGCAGTGTACTTGCACGTTCTACTATTTTTTTTTTTTTTTCAATACATTCCGTTATTATAATTATCATCTAGACGRCTTTTTATTCACACCATCGAGACGTAGGCACCTATGCACACGGATATGCAAGCATATTATGTACATACGTATTATTATTATACACCGGGTGATATATGAATTAAACGACAWTTTTTTTCCTTCAGACCACTTGCATTATATTATTATGATGTAGTAGGTACGTCATATTATGTAGTTCTTTATATTGAAAAAAATTAATAAATTACCACAGTTAACACATTAACACATTCGGTGGGTGTGAAAACGTGAACGTTCCTATATTATTATACGTATATACATGGGATTTTATTTACCTCGCGCACGCATAAGACCTCGCTCAGTGTCTTGATTAATTAGATTCAGCTGTTCGTGTTCGTATATTAATATATTAAAGTTTATACATAATTTAATGGTTTAAATTTTTAAAATATATATAAGTATAAGCAGTCCGTCAACTGCAGCGTATTGATCACGAGCTGTTCATTTCTCTTTTTTTTCAATATACGCACCAAAATTACACATAATACAAGCATATATATTGATGTATAACACGACCTGAYAGTACGACAATTATTAAACAAGCAGTAAATATTAGATAATGTAATGCAACAACGCTCCCCGAGGTACGCTGCGCTTAATGGTTAAAATAAATTATAGTGAGACCTTATATATCTCTTTTATTATGAATATTTTGCATCGTTTTATAGGGGACGTTTATATTACCTAATATTGTTGTGTATAATATGCACGTAACACGTACATGCAAAGTCCAATGACGTTTTTGTTTACATAAAAGTGTTCAGTATAGGTACAAATCTCATTATCAAAACTTCACTACAAATTACAATAAAATAATATATTTGGCTGTCACTAAAAAATTATTCTAACCTTATTTTCGTGTCAAAGAAGTGTTTTAAAAGTTTCGTCTACTCAAAACTATAAGTCGAAATATTGGTATTTAAAGATGATCAATTAGAAATGGTTTTACTAAATTTGGTATGATTAGATATTTTTTTATAAGACCGCTACAAAAACCAAAAATCTTAGAATTTTATACCTTTACATCACGCATTGATGGAGACGAACTTATTATTGCATTATTTTACAACTGTACATATTAATGTTAACAATCATTTTAATCATTTTAATCATTTTAATCTATAATTATTTTAAATTACTGACTCAACTGTTTATTTATTTCATAATTACTACATTTATTATAGTATAATTTATCTATTATCACTAATTAATTTTAAAAATATTTTATTTATAAATACATATCTGAGTAATTTTAAAATTTYCAAAAAAAGGAAATTTATTTAAGCTTCCAAGCTGTATAATATTAATGAAACACTTTATAGATTGCCGAGGTAAATGAAACGAGACAAGATTTAAAGTGCAGAACACCCAGTCACTGTTCCTGTCCAWATATTTTCTTTTATTTGCATCCTACATTTTACCCAATGGAACATCTTGTAGTTAATTCTATGCTTGATTGAATACAGATGATTTATAATTTAAATCTAACCGACACGCAATAAAACAGATTAGTAAAATTATTTCAGAAAAAAATTGTATTTTCTTGTGTAATATTAATTTTAGACAATTCGAAAACAGTATATCAATTTACAGCGTTACTTTTTTTATTTTAATGCTGTATCTTAAATTTAATTGTTCACAATATAATATTCAGCATACCTATACAGTATRTTATACACATAAACATATATCCATATATATATAGGAATATGAGTCCATTTTCTATAAAATGATAATATAAGACCATAAATTGTTTGTAAAAACAGTTAGACGTAAAAAAAACTACCTACTCAAGCTACAGTCATAGTTAAGAAATCAAACGTATAAACAAATTCAAATATACAATATTYTTTGTGTCGGAGTATTATAATTAAATTGGTACAATTACTATAAAATAATTACTCACGTTTAATAAACATCAAAATAACTGGTTTTAAATCAATAATAACTTTTTTTGTATCAAAAAATAAAACTCTTGATAGGTACGACATATTTAATATTTTAGCCTTCCTTTTTGTGTGTTAATTTGGTTTCTAAATTATGACTGGTTCTGTTTGGCGTGAAATCAACTCTTGTTATACTGACATAGAACCATTTGTAAGTTACTTTAAATTAGTACTCAAATATAGATACTTAAGAATTTTAATTTTAATATTTTTTTAAATTTCTTCAAAATAATTAGGTATACATTTATAAGCATTATATATTTATAAGCATAAAAGGCAGGTGCGTGCGGAGTATTTAAAAAAAAATTAAAATAAGCTCATAACAAGTTATGTCAGTTAATATAGGTATTTACTTTTTTATAGTTCATATAAAAAAGATATTAAATCGAGGAAAATATATTCTCATGTGCATTTTTTTTCGCTTTCTCTGTCAATTCATTACGCGACCACTATATTAACATAAAGGTAAATATTAATATTTTAATAATTCCTTAATCAGATGCGTTACATAATGAATAAGTTTATACGACATTACCACGGCTGAGTGATTCTTTTTCTWTGAGTTTTACTTATATTGAACTTCATAATAAAAGCGCATCGTTTACTATATTATCTAACTATATAATAAAAACTTAAAAGTGCATACAAGTTTGACATTAATGAGAGGTTTTTATAAATATATATAGTATATACATAAGAATAACATCTACGTATTTTGTTGTATTAAATTAGCATAAGTACTTATAGAATATAAATGAATCATTTTCAAGCCAAAAATTAAATGCAGCTAATCCAAACAATATTTCATAACGTGTAAAACTAATTATATAATAACATGTCAATAATTCATGTTTACTGTAAAAAAAAAATAAATAATAATGTTAATTATTTATATTATAATTTATAGGTAATACAATATATTAAGTAAATAATAGTTATAATAATAATATAGAAATAAAATGTATAAATCCCCGTCCAAATTGATTTATGAAATATAATTAAATAAACACAACAATATTTTAAAAGGTAACGAATAACTCCTATATTATAATTTGTATCTAAAATGCAATACCTATAATAATAATAATTTAATTACAGTTATGTCGTTATGATATATTATAGGTCTTCAAATACAAATTATAGTTACTTTATGATCATTAGTTCAAAAAATACTATGCTAGTATTAATAGGTTAAAGAAAATAATTTTTAGAAAATAGCAAAACAGTATTCTATATAATTTTATTATGTGTATACATTTCATATTTTAATAGATACTCTAAATATGATTTGTAATGATTTTCGAGAATAATGTGAGAAATTTTTTTTTTTTTTTAACAAAATAATAATGGCGTATAATGATCATACTATTACATAAACTTTCGCTTTTTAAAACTATAATGAACCAAAAGCAATGTCAAAACTGTATTTTAGTTTATTCAATATCCTACTTAATTCAAATTCTTCGGTGTGACTCGAGTCATTATGAACTTAAACCAGTGCCGTCCAACGTTCAAACCAGTTCTTACACACAGGAAACGCAATGTATCATTAAGATCAATCATTACCAAAAACAAAAATAATACCTATATTAGTCGAAGTGCCAACACCTTTAATAAAGTGTAGAAATAATKATGTATGCACAAATTATGTGTTATATTTTGAACAAGCGTATGTAAAGTTGTGGTCGCAGAGTTTGCATAAAACGTACAAATGGTGAAATGTATACAATAATTCGCATAACATAGTGAAGACTGCTTGGACAGGTCGTTTTA